TCAGTAGGAACTGGATCTGCCGGCACCCTGATCTTGGACTGCCCAGCCTCCAGAACGGTGAGAAGTAGGTTTCGCTTGTCTAAGCCTCCTAGTTTGTAGTATTCTTGTTATAGTAGCTTGAATTGACTGCGTCACTCACCACTGGGATGAACAGGTGGTGAGCAGAACGAGGCTGGTCCTGGTGTGAAGAGGTGAGCAGGACCATCTGACCACTTCTCTGGGAAGGAATTTGGGGTAGCAATACCTAGGGGATGAGGCAGCTAATAGGGAAGTCCAGCTGGAAGACCCTGATTTAGAGAAGGGCTGCTAGGGCCATCACGGGGCACCTGCAAAAGCGAGGGCTAAGCGGAAGCTCCGAGGCAGAAAGGCAGAGCACATGGGAGTGAATCTGGCAGAGAAAAGAGAATGGTGCAGAGGAGAGAGGAGCTGATCTGCAGAGGGGAGGGCAGCGAGTGAAGGCCCAAGGACTCTGGCTGCAGAGCTTCCTGGTGCCGCCTTAGATCCGGCCTAGCCCTCCCGACCCTCCTGGGTCCTGTGCATGTGGATGCTATGACAAGACTTGTCCCACCCCTCCACCCCATGGTCATTTTTCCAAACAGAAAGAGCCTGAGTCAGTGAGGATATACTTGTTATTGGGAGTCTGTGCCTCGTGTGTCAGCGTCTTGTGATCTTGACTCATTTACCCCCACATAAAGGGCTCACTTCTCCAGTGAGTTCGCTTCATGGGTACCTGCCTTTCTGCATGGTTGAGCGAGGGCCTTCCCCCAGTCACAGACTTCTTGTGTCTTGTTATGCCCTTCCACATGGGGGAAGGGGCGAACAAGTTCCCTGGGGCCTCTATCATGAGGGCACTAATCCCATTTATGAGGACTCCACCCTAATCCCTAATCCCTCACCACCTAATCCCTCCCGAAGGCCCCACTTCCTAATACCATCAGATTGGGGGTATTTCAACATACAAATGTGGAGGGGGACATGGACTTTTAGACGGTAACAATCACTGGGTGCAGCCCACACTTAAAAGGAGTGCGGAGTTATGCCCTACTTTCTTGAAGATGGAGTATCTACACAAATTATTTGGGATTTTTCTCTGTGGGAGATTTATCTATGTGTTTATTTATTCAAACATTTATTTTATCAGTATGGATTCATGGGTTTTATACTTTGGATTATAGTCCAATACAATTTCATTTATTTTCTTGCTCAAATTGTTCCAGTTTTGGCCAGTAGGAGCTCTTTTAGGTGGCTCCTGTGTCTTTTTTTTTTTAACATTCCTTCATCATTTTTTTTTTTTTTTATACTCCAGATTCATTTTGTATATTTCCTGCCCTGGTCCTAGAATCAGCCATTTCTCCAAAGAGCCCTGGTTTCATTTTTTTGGATAATGATATTAGAAACCAAAATCTGGGTGCCGTGTGTGGTCACTGCAGCCCGGATGTGATTGCATCTTTTTGGCTAAGAGAGCTAGGTAATGTGTATGTGGATACCTGATTTTTTGTTTTAAAGATCATTATGCCTGCAATATGGTGACAAGACTTGAGGGGGGCAAGACTAGAGTCAGGGATAACAGTTAGAAGATTAACCGAATTAAAGCCGGGTGAGATGGGGCCCAGGACCTGTGATGGGAAGGATTGTTGTTACTGTTGTTGGATTTGCTATGGGACGCAATTTAGGACACTTTGTGCACCTGGGTGCTCACATCATGCCCTGAAGTTGCCTCCCTCCAGCCTTACCCTTTGGCTGCCTTGGCTTAGCATCAGGGCCAGGCAGACTCTCCCCAGTAGCATCCCGGGTAGCTCCTTGCCTACAACCTCATGGTTTTGCAGCTTCAGAGGAATGAAGTCCCTTTTCCAACAGTTCCAACAAAAATCCAGCATTGGGTGACATGCTCATCCCTAAAGCAATAATGGAGATTGGGGAGATGGGTTATGTTGATCGATCCACAAGCTCATTCCTGGGACTGGGAATTGGGTCTGGGCTTAGCCTCCACCCTACTGGACAGGCTGAGCTGGAGGGAAGGGTTATTCTCAAGACAAAGATCAGCAGAGATGCCAGAAGACGGGAGACTGTCAGCTCTCAGCTGCTGAGGGTCCCAGCTTGCAGGCTGCAGGTCTCCCCTTTCCATCAAAACTACCTGATCTAGCTACTCCCTGGAAGACAGCTGGCCACCCTGTGTCATTAAGGGTGGATATGAGTGACTGAAAAGCTTCTTCAGTGGGCGCTTCGGTGGCTCAGTCGGTTAAGCATCTGCCTGAAGCTCAGGTCATGATCCCAGGGTCCTGGGATCGAGCCCCGCATCGGGCTCCCTGCTCAGTGGGGAGTCTACTTCTCCCTCTCCCTCTGCCTCTCCCCTGGCATATGCTCTCTCTTGCTCACTCTCTCTCTCAAATAAATAATAAAAAAAAAAAAAAAAAAAAAAGCTTCTGCAGCTAGGCGACTGTACCTCTGAGAGTGTGGCCCTGTACCCTTCAGTAGGTCAGGAAAAACCAATGTGTAAGAGGTCCCAGCGGATGAATGGTTCTGGTATTAATGTATAAAATGTCCATTTGATTTATTCTGACCAGAGAACAGAGAAACCTCTCAGTAAGGATGTAGCAACCTCCTGGTGTTTCCTGCTGGCAGATGGTGTTCTTATAGGAGAAGTAAGAGCTGAGAGCCTGGGGTGGGAGGCGAATGGAGACAGAGAAGAGGGGGCAGGACTGGAGTCCTGCTGGTCACGCCTGAGGCCACCACAATCGCAGGACTATGCCCTATCTTGGCCCAGACTCTACACTTCCAGTTCTGCTTTTGAGGCTCCCTCAGCTTCTCAGGCCCCAGGAAGAACCAACTTCTGAGTGGGCCTGGCCTGGGCCCTTCCTGAGTGTGGGGAAATGGAAACCAAAGCGGGCTCTTGCTCTTCTGGGCCTCTGGGGAGGGACCTCAAGCAACTCTCCTTTCACACAGAGGTGAAGGGGTTTGCTAGACACTCCTGGGGTCTCAGGGAGAGCAGTTGACTGCTCCAGAAATGGGTGCCTTAAAATTCCTCCTGTGTCCTTTCCTCTCAGGTCAGGTTGCAATGGATAGGAGGAGACAGGCCAACAGATGCTGCATCTGCCCTCTACACACACACACACACACACACACACACACACACACACACACTGCCATGGCATCATGAACTGCGCATAGACAAGCACCCCCTCCCTCGCCCTGTACATCCGCTGTGCACTCAGCTAGCTGCTGGCTGAGTTGACAGTGGCCTCCGTGACACAAGCTCTTCTTGGGCAGAAGCGGCTCTCCCGACCCCTCCTCGGGACAAGGCACTCGCAGGACAGCGTCTCCACCATTTCAGTTGGGCTGCAGGCTTCTTAGCACTCGGAGAGCATGTAGGAGGCTGACCCCAGGATCTGGGAAAAGCCGTGGGAACAGGATGTAGAAACTGAGAGTGAAAATAGGAAGAAGGATGGCACAAGCCATTTGCAAGGTAGTAACTGACATATTGTCACCGGGTCGCTGGTGAGAGAGGGGACAAATATGTAATTAGACTTTATGAGTTAAAGAAAATGTGATCCATTTTGATAAGATTATAACCATCTGAAGTACTGGGGCACGAAGGAACGAGAATCCGCCATTAACCTTTGAACTGACTTAGGGAGAATTGATTCTGCTCATGAACTGACCAGCCAGTGGGAGTATTGATTCTGCTCATCTGTTAACCCCCTTGGGGGCTGGGGACTTGGGGCTCATGTGGCTCCACCTAGATGCCTCACTTCCCTGTCTTCTAAGTCCAGGCCCACAAGCAGCAGGAACCCCCTGAAGCAGGGAAGTTACAGGATCTCACTGCTAAGCAGCACATTGGCGTATCCATCAGTTTCTTTTTACTTAGTCTCAAACCGGATCAACTCAAGGGAGCATGTAGGCAATCAGCTAGAGGTGCAAGATTGGATCAAGTTGGGTCCTATTTGCTGTTTTCTGACACCAGCCAATTCTCTGAGATCAACTGGGTATTCCACACTTCAAGTCAATTTTCACAATGACTTTTGGAGTTAGCACAGACCCCACAGGTTAAGGATTCAATCCCACAAGATTGCCCCCACTCCAGATGCCACCAGCAAATGGGCTCTCCAGGCAACCCACACTTCTGCACAGCCAACTGTAAATCGGGGGGCTCCCATGACCCCCCTCAGCTTTGAAAATGACTCACAGAACCCAGGAAAACACTATGCTTACTACTACAGTTTATGGTAAAGGATACAAATGAACAGCCAGAGGAAGAGGTACGTAGGGCCAGGTCCGGAAGAGTCCAGAGCAGAGGAACCTCTGTTCCTGTGCAGTTGGGACGTGACCCTCTCCAGGCAGGCGGATATATTCACCAAGCAGGAAACTCCTTGAATCTTTTGTAATCCCATCTCCAGGCCCCCTCTCCTACCTGGAAGTCCTGGATGGGGGGTGGGGTTGGACAGGTGGGAGTTTGGTTTTTCTGGGTTTGGCTCCCATCCTGAAACTATCTAGGGGCCTACCCTGAGTCACCTCATTAGCATAAACTCAGGTATTGTGAATAAAAGAAGATAGTCCTATCACTTAGGAAATTCCAAGGAACTGGGGACAAAGACCAAAAACAAAGACCTCATGCTACTTGAGAGGGTCTGGGGCTAGATTTAAGAGTCAGCCCCAGGTCACAAGGATGTTTTTCTGCAAAGCTGAGATGGACCCCCGCCCCCTCCTGAGTGGCCGTGAAAAAGTATTTGTGACTCAGGTGGGCGCAGAGGCTAGTTTTGGGGACTAGCTGGAGAGTGGAGAGTGGGGTGAGGGGCTTGAGGGGAGGGCCAGTGCTGATGCTGGCAAGGAGAGGAGAGGAAAGGGCAGACTGACACCTGGGAGCCTGGAAGGACAGGATGCTGCTGGGGCGCTTCTGCAGAATCAGCAGGGGAGGGAGTTCCTACTCAGGGGCGTATAAGTCCGGAGTATCTCAGCTTTACTTCCCACTGCTACTGGTGCACTGTACAGCCTGTGAGGGGCCCATGGCAAGGAGCAGCGGGGGACGGGGGACGGTAAAGGAAGACATGAATGGTGACAGGGTCCACTTCAACACAGACAACCAGAGGGTCTTCCTGGGCCCCCGAGGTGAGAAAACTGAGGCATCAGCCCATCCTCCTCAGGGACTGGCTTGCTTGTCCCCCCGCCCTTGCCATTTTTGTCAGCCCCTCCCTGGCAGGCCGGAGCCTGGCTCTTCCCTGTCTCAGCCTCCAGAATAAATAGGCAAGGGCTGGGAAGGTGGGTCAGGTGAGGACGGAGAGCCTGGTGCACACCCCAGCTTCTGCATGAAACCTCCCAGACCCTTTCTCTTGGAGATGGCAACCTGGCAAGGAAAAGGTAAACTTTGAATTCGGAGGGACCTGGTTTTGAGTCCCATCTCTGCACGTTGGGTTGGTCCCACAAGGACTCAGGGGCTCTAGGCTGGTGTTTCTCCACCTTAGAATGGATTTCCCTGTACACTATTTATCCCTAACCACACCCCCAGACTCAATAGGCATAGCTCTTTGTAGGGCACCCATGCCGGGCTTTCTGACCCCAGCAGAGGAAGACTTCAGCACTGACCTATGTCAGTTTGTGGGAGACGCAGCTGTCCCAAAGGGCTGTGAGTCCTGCTCTGTTCAGGGTTCATGAGCAAGCCTGGCCTTGGGACTCAGAGGTCAGGTTCCTGCTCTGTCCCTTCCTGTCTCCCTCCTTTCTTCTTCCATGCAAACTACATGTTTGTTGCCCTTCTCCGTGCTGGGATCTGTGCCCTGTGCACCTCCTCTGGGTTCTGTGGTCTTCTCTTTGCCTTTGACTTGCTACCATAACCCCAGTTAGCTCTGGTGAACACTTCCTAGTGCTTTATTTCCCATCTCCATGATAAGCATGGCCTGTGTTCTCATCCCCATCAGTGCAGGAGACTGAGCCCGAGGGCTGACCCCGTCCAGCCCGCACAGCACACTGTCCTCCTGTCCACTGGCTTCTCCCTTGCAGGGCTGGACTCTACAGCAGGGGATCCTGCAGCCCCCAGGAGGCCAAGGCTTGTTCAGACCGGCATGGCAGTTATGGCTGTGACGCTCGTCTCCTCTCTGGTGGCTCTCTTTGTTGTGGGTAAGCTCCTAGGTGACCCGAACTCCACTGCCTCTCTCTCTCTTCCTGCATAAAGGTCCCACAGGGGCTAGTTGCCTACCCTCTGGCCCCAGGCCTGAACCAGATCTTACCTGAAACTCAACCAAGGCCCCCGTCCAAGGTGGGGGGGGGTGTCTTCCCAAGAGCTGAGGCCCATGGGGGAAAGTCCAAGGGGTGCCATCTCCCTCCTTCTGGGTCCCTGACCAAGGGTGGGGTAGCCTGTTCTGCCAGCCTTCGTGCAGAGAGAGTGTGCTGACCCAGGAATGGGTGTCTCAGTTCTCCAGAAGCCGAGACCTCTGTTGGAGCCCTATGCCTCCTTCCAAGAGTTTCCAGCCATGATTCCCAGGGACAACACAACCGGACAGTTAGGTGTGGAACCCCACAGTGAGTAGTCACAGGGCGGTGGGGGTGGAGTGGGAGAGCTGGAGCATTCAGATGCCCAGACCCTAAGAGGAGCCTCTCCTTTGATGTCTCCTATGCCCCTGAATGGGTTCCAATTTTCTCACAAGAAGACACAATCTTTAAAAAAAAAACAAAACAAAACACAGTTTCATTAACGTGTAATTGACACATAATAAGGTGCAATATTTAAAGCATGCACTCTGGTAAGTTTTGACTTATGTGTATCCCCATGAAACCACCACCACAATCAAGATAATGAGCATATTCATCCTCCCCCCCACAGTTTACTTGTGCCCTTTGACATCCTTCCCTCTCCCCTCCGCTCTTCATCCCAAGTAATATAGACTAGTTGGCTTTTTCTAGAATTTTATGTGAAAAGGATCCTATGGTATGTACTTTTTTGCTCCTTTATCAGCATGTAATTTGCAAATATTTTCTCTCAGTTAATGGCTTGTCTTTTCTTTCTCCTAACAAGATTTAAATCTTAATAAAGTCTGATTTATCATTTTTTTTCTCTTATGGATTATACTATTGGTTTCATATTGGAAACCTATCCCAAGGTCACAAAGACATTTACCTATGTTTCCTCCTGGAAATTTTGCACTTTTTGGTTTTACATTCAGGTCTATGATTAATTTTGAGTTAAGTTTTATATAATGGTGTGAAGTATGAAGTTAATTTTTATTTAGCATGGGATATACAATTGTTGCACTACCGCTTGTTGAAAAGATTATCATGATTATCATTATCATGAATTACTTTTGTGTCTTTGTTGAAAATCAATCGTCCATATATATGTGGGTCTATTTCTAGATTCTCTGTTCTGTCCCATTGATGTATTTGTCTGTCTTTACAAGGCAGAATATTTGACTGGACTTCTCATACCTTCAAGGGTCACCTGGCCCCACCTGGCCTTACCGCAGCATAGTGGCTGAGACCTCATACATTTACCTAGGTAGGGCCTGAGGAATAGGGCAGGAATCTTCCAGAAAGGGTCCCTGCCTACTTGGGTTCTTCTCCCAGAGAGCTGGCATTGAGAGTCTTAGACCATGAATATCCGAGATAAGGTCTTAGCTTGTGAGGTGAGCAAAGGGTACTGGTAGGACCAGAGGCAGCTGCAGGTGGGGTTGGTGGGAATGATTATGCAGATAAAAGGGGCTACGAGTTCCCTGAATGACCGCAATGACCGGGGCTTTCACTCAGGTCTCCCATATCCTCACACTGTTCTGACTCTTGCTCTATGTAACACTGGGTATGCCAGCCCTTCAAAAGGCCCTTTCCACTCCAGGGTGTAGTATCACCTGGAGGGTCTCCACCATAGCCCTGTGTGTGGATTGAACAGAGGGCTGCCTCTACAGGTACCTATTTTGTTTAGTTTCTGGAATTTGTGATCAGAAAACTATGTTTGCGGTCCACACCATTTTTAGGAAGTGAATCAAGAGGCCTCATGCTTAATGTACAAATAGAGTGGAAGACTAAACATGGGCTTTATTCATACCTAGTTTCTTTTTCATAATGACCTGTTTATTTATTTGTTTATTTTTTAAAGATTATTTGTTTATTTGACAGCGAGAGAGAGAGACAGCGAGAGAGGGAACACAAGCAGGGGGAGTGGGAGAGGGAGAAGCAGGTTTCCTGCCGAGCAGGGAGCCCGATGTGGGACTAGATCCCAGGACCCCGGGACCACAACCCAAGCTGAAGGCAGACGCTTAACGACTGAGCCACCCAGGTGCCCCCAAAATGACCCGTTTAATGGTAAAATGTAAGTGGAGTTAAACTTCAGCAGCTCTCAATGATATAATCAGTTAGCTTCAAGTTCAGTTACAATGGCAAAATAATCCAAGCTTGACCAGCATGACTCTTAGTGGTAGCTAGTTTGTAGTTGGCAAGTATTTCAGTCCTTCTGTCCCTCAGTTCATGGGGGATGGCTAAGTCCACCTTTATTTTGTCTTTTGGCTCACAGTCTCAGGTGGCCCATCCCCAGGGTCTGGGTGGCTGCAGTGAGCAGAAGGCTGCTTGAGGAGCGCTCAGGGCTGTGTCCTAGACATGACCCTTAGGAAATGTAAGGACACTATGGTTGGCCCATATAATGAATGCTTCCCTATGTAATGGGCCTCTGTGGCTGCCTTCTCGATTTCCTCCCTCCAGATCCCTACCACTCTGGCGGGGTGGCAGAGTTGCAAGAGACTATCCAGATGTTTAAAAGCCATGTGGAGAATTCTAGCACCTGGAGCACAGAGGTCCAGATGTTGGCTTGCAGAGTGGACAATGTCAGTTCTCAGATCCAGGTGCTCAGCGGTCATCTGGAAAACACCAGTGCTGACATCCAGACGGTAAAAGACGTTCTAAAGGATGCCAATACCTTGAGTTTCCAGACCCAGATCTTGAGGAGGTCCATGGAGGGGGCCAGTGCGGATATCCGGAAGCTAAAAGGAGATCTGGAAAAGGCAAATGCTTTAAATTCCCAGACCCACAGTTTCTTAAAAAGCAGTTTAGAAAACTCCAGCATCGGTCTCCACATGCTGAGTGGAGGCTTAGGAAACGCCAACGCTGAAATTGCGATATTGAAGGCAGGGCTGAAAATGGCAAATGCCCAGGCCCAGTGGGCAAACAGTAGTCTAAAGAATGCTAATGCTCAGATCCAAGTTTTGAGAGGCCAACTGGCTGGTGTCAATGACTTAAGGGCCCAGAATCAGGTTTTAAGAAGCAGTTTGGAAGGAGCCAATGCTGAGATCCAGAGGGTCAAGGGAAGCCTGCAAAATTCCAATGCTTTAAACTCCCAGACACAGACTTTTCTAAGAGGCAGTTTAGACAACACCAGCTCTGAGATCGAGTTTTTAAGAGGTCATTTCAAAAGGGCTGGTGATGAGATTCACATGTTAAAAAGAGATTTGGAAACTGTCACTGCCCAGACCCAAGTCATAAGCAACAGTCTGAAGCAGACAGATGCTCAGATCCAACTATTAAAAACAGAGCTTGAAAATGTCAATGCCTTAGATTCCAAGACTCAGGTATTAAGTGGTTATTTGAAAAATGCCAGCAGAGAGATACAGACCCTAAAACAAGGGATGAAAACTGCTGCAGCCTTAGGTTCTAAGATCCAGATGCAAGAGAGCAATCTTCAGAAGGCCAGTGCTGAGATCCGGAGGTTAAAAGCAGATTTAGAGAACACCAAAACACTAACTACGAAAATCCAGGAGGAGCAGAGTTGCCTGGAGACGGTCCATGGGGCCCTTGCTTCCCAGGAGCAGCTACAGAGGACCCAAAGTAAGTGGGATGGGAGAGCTTGGCCGGGGAGGTATGGTCTCTTGGGTGGGTAGAATCTTCTGTCCCTTAAGCCTTTTGCTTACTTGAAAACTTTTTTTAAAAGATTTTACTTATTTATTTGACACACACAGAGAGAGAGAGAGAAGGAGAGAGAGCACAAGCAGGGCGAACGGCCGGCAGAGAGAGAAGCAGACTCCCCGCTGAGCAGGGAGCCTGACACGGGACTTGATCCCAGGACCCTGGGATCATGACCTGAGCTGAAGGCAGACGCTTAACCAACTGAGCCACCCCGGCGCCCCTGCCTTTTGCTTACATCAACATGCATAAACAATTCCCTGGGAAGGAGGGTGGGAGCTGGAGAAGGGCTGAAGCCACCCAACAGGCTCGATGTGTCTAGGCAGGGGTGGAGGTGGCATAAGGCAGCCATCCCTGCTCTCAAGTGGCTTGTCCTCTGGCCAGAGTGACAAAACAACACTTGAGAGATGAACGATGTGTAGAAGGCATGCAGAGAGGCGTAAGAGGTGTTATGTGAGAGTCAGGTCTGGGAACTGGGGTGGAGGGGAGCAAAGAGAAGGGACCTTCCCAGGTCGATGGCCTCTGGTATAGAAAAGGGATCTTCTGAGTGGATCTTTCCTCCAACCTTTTGGAGGAAAAAGGATCAAAAGATGCACTGTGGAGAAGGGAGCCCTTGAACTGGGTCTGGAGGACTAGTAGGTGTTTGCTAAACAAGTAGGCTAAGATGATGGCAGGTTCACAGGCATGAGGATGTGAAACCGTGAGGTTCAGGACACTTCAGACAGTTCTGTTGGACTGCACTGTGGCCAGGAGGGCAGGCGATGAGGTGCAGGCTGAGAGGCTAGCCGGCAGGGGCCAGAACGGTGGCTTTCAAGCTGTTTTGAATGTAAGCCTGAAATTCATTTTATATTGCGATGCAGTATAATTATGTATCACACACACACTCACTCACACACGTACACACACACGCTTCAAAAGCATAAATTTTACCACACGGATGCACTCTGGTATTTTATAATCTATTCTTTAAAAAAAAATAACACCTTGATACTTCCCACGAATGGGTTGATGATTGCACTTTGAAAATCACTGAGCCAGGAAGCTAGGCAGACCTGGAGAGACACCAGAAGGATGTGGAAGGCCTCTGAGTTTGGGTTTTATCCTTCAGGAGCTGAGGGTCTATTGGAGGGCTTCAAGAAGGCTGACCAGATGGGGCGCCTGGGTGGCTCAGTTGGTTAAGCGACTGCCTTCGGCTCAGGTCATGATCCTGGAGTCCCGGGATCGAGTCCCGCGTCGGGCTCCCTGCTCGGCGGGGAGTCTGCTTCGCCCTCTGACCCTCCCTCCTCTCATGTGCTCTCTCTCTCTCATTCTCTCTCTCAAATAAATAAATAAATAAAATCTTTAAAAAAAAAAAAAAAAAAGAAGGCTGACCAGATGGGTCTCTGAACCGAGAGGGAAAAAAAGAAGGGAGAAAAGCAGCGAGGTTTGGACCTGCTGAGCCTGAGATGCTTCGGGGGTATTCAAGTAGCTGTCATCTGCAGGCCATCGGGAGCATGGGGGACAGGCCCTGGCTGCAAACACAGCTGTGGGAGCCCTGGACACATTGGTTCTGGTTGTGGCAGTGGGAGTGGGGGCGGGGCTTGCATGAGAGAAAATGCTTTATGGGAAGAAAGCTGAGGGCAGAAACAGGAAGTCAACCTTCAGGTGGCAAGAAGGGAAAGAGGTGTTTTTGAAGAAGACTACTAGAGAAGGCAGTCTTAGAGGCAGAAGGAGAACCAGGAAATGGGCCGTTGGGGAAGTCAAGGAAGGAGGGAATTTCAAGAAGGAAATGGTTAGTTCTGGTGAATGCCTGAGAGGTTACATTAAGTAACCAATAAGCACCCACTGGGTCTGGGCAATTTACAAGTCATTGGGAATGAACTTCCTGTGGAGAGTAGCGTTGTGGCCTGGAGGCCAGACCACCCTCAGCAGGGTGTGAATGAGAGATCAGGTGCACGAGCCATTCAAGGACCTTGGCTGAGGAACGGAGGAGAGCGCTGAGGCTGAGGTAGGGGGATGGCATGGCAGGGGGAGGGATTAAAAAACATATATCGTTGATATTTGCATTATAAAACCTCAGTATTGATTATAGACAATGTGCAGATATTGAGAAAGAAATGATGAGAAAACAACTGCTTGTATTTCCATGAATATTTCTACACTTTAAAAAAGATTTATTTATTTATTTGAGAGAGAGAGGGAAAGAAAGAGAGCATGAGCTGGGGGAGGGGCAGAGGGACAGGGAGAGAGAATCCCAAGCAGACTGCCCTGAGCACAGAGCCTGACGAGGTGCTCCATGTCACCACCCTGAGATCATGACCTGAACCAAAACCAAGAGTTGGGCACTTAACCCACTGAGCCACCCAGGCGCCCCTCTACATTTTCTATATGAGCCCACTGTGAGCATTTTGGTAAACTTCCTTTAGAGGGTTTTTCTAGATTAAGAAGATAGGCTTGATCTGAGGGTGGGAGAAAGGAACCAGCAAAGAGGGAGGCAGTGGGAGGAGAGAGAGACAGAGAGACAGAATGAAATGAGTAGCTGAGGGATTGACCTTGAAGGGTTGGGACCGTAAGTACTTGAACTTCTGAGGCTGGGAGGGAGAGCCGGGGTGGTAGGTGTTCACCCAGGTTTGCAGATGTGGGAACAGGAAACTGACGGAACTGATCTTTAGTGGTGTCTCTTCCTAGGTAGAGTAGGAGGTCACTTGCTAAGGGTGAGAGAGGGGGCGGTTTGAGCAGCTGCTGAAGAGACTCCCCGTCTTGGGCACCTGGGTGGCTCAGTCGGTTAAGCGTTTGCCTTTGGCTCAGGTCATGGTCTCAGGGTCCTGCATCAGGCTCCTGGCTCAGCGGGGACTCTGCTTCTCCCTCTCCCTCTGCCCCTCCCCTCTGCTCCTGTTCTGTCTCTCAAAATAAATAGATAAAATCTTAAAAAAAAAACAACAAAAAAACTCCTGGTCTGTCAGAAACCTGGACGTCTGCCCCTCTTAATGCCTCTCCAGTGCCCCCTGCTGTCCTCCTAATGCCCTCCTATGTCCACCTACTGCTTTAGCAGAGACCCGTGTTTCTCTACTATGGGCCACATTGGGCTCACCCAGGGAGCTTTACATATACTGATGACTGGGACCCACCTCCAGAACTCTGACTTTTGGGGGGGAGGAGGGTCTGGGATGTAGTGTGGGCATTAGAATTTTTTCAAAAGCTCCCTAGGTTGTTCTAGTGGGCAGGCAGGACTGAGAACCATTAGCTTAACTTTTTCTTAAAGGGCCAAATAGTAGATATTTTGGGCTTCTGGCTGAACAGCCTCTGTCGCAGCATCTCTGCTGCTGTAGCAATAAAGCAGCCAAAGATGGATGTAAACTAAAGGGTATAGTTGTGTTCCAATAAAACTTTATTTATAAAAAGAGGTTGCTTGAAGGTTGCAGTTTGCCAATCCTCAGTTTAGACTACTGGTTCTTCGGCTTTGGAATGCATCAGGATCACCTGGAGGGTTTGTTAAGACACCAAATGTTAAGAAACAATTTCAGATTCAGCCAGTCTGGGGTGGGTTTGAGAATTTGCCTTGCTACTTAATTCCAAGGTGACGCTGATGCTGATGCAAAACCGCTGGTTTACACACTCAGCATCATTACCGAGACATTTGCAGTTATATTCTAATTGGTGTCTCTGGCCTGGTTAGGATTGCCTTCTTCTTGTTCAGTCTCCACACTGTCACCAAGTTGGTATTAGCATAGTGCAAATCTGAGCATACTACTATCCTTCTTAAAATGCTTCAGGGCTTCCCAGTGCTCACAGGGAAAAAAAAACCCCAAACTCCTTCACACGAGATGGACAATATAGTGTTGGTGAAGCTGTCCAAGTTCGTCTCCCCTCCCTTATGCACTGACCATTCCAAGCACTTGAGCAGGTCAAGCCATGCCATGCTGTTTCTCACCTTCACACTTTTTGTGTCTACTTTCTCCCCCTGCCTGGGATGCTCTCCTTGGCACTGACCACCAGGCAAACTCTTCCTCAGTCTTTTAAGACTTAGCTCAAGTGACATCTCACCTGGGGTGTCCTTCCTGAGTGCCATGTGTAGCCCAGGTGACATAGACCATACCCTCTTTTATGGCTCTGTTCTAACATGAGCAAGGTCTTCCATGAATGCATCTTCAACACCTTTTTTACACATCGGTCTCGTTTGCTAGACTGTAAGCTCCTTGAGGGCGTGAATCGTGTCTTACTGATCTTTGTATAATAGTCCCTGATTCACAGAAGTTAAAAATCATTGAACCATGGATGTTGAACAAAAGAATAAATGAATGAATAAGCGAGTCTGTTGTGGCACCAAATCAAACAGCCATGATGCAGATGGTGTTAAAAAGCAGGGTGTGATAGTGGGGAAGGATGAGAGAGCTGAGAGCACAAGAGGCTTGTGCTGGTGGAATGAGTTTTCAGAGCTTGAAATGGGAAGGTCAGGTAGAGCAGGTCCCGAGGACAGTCCTGGGTGTGGGCAGGTGACATGGAAGGAGATGGAGGGAAGGAAGTGAGTGGTGCTGTGGATGGCTGCAAAGTCTCCGGGGGAGATGGAGGGAACTGAGGTGCAGCAGACTGTCCGGTGGTGGCAGTGAGTGGCAAGAGAGGGTCATGGAGCCAGAAAGCAGGAGTCTGGAAAGAAAGTGTTGTCTGGGTAGCAAAGCTATCCGAGGATCCCTGGGCGGATGCAGCCAGGTGTCCTGAGCCACTTCCTAGTGTACTGGGTATCAGGCTGGGGGTGCAGCCTCCCAGGTCCTGCCCCCCGGAGCACTGGGCATCAGGCATTATGTGGACTTGTGACCCTCGGTGGCCAGTCCCAAGAGAGTTCAGGAAGGGCAGCTCTTGGGCATCTGCAACCAGCCCCTGGTTCTCTCTCGTCCCCAACCTTTGCTCCAGATCAACTTCTTCAACTGATCCTGCAAGGCTGGAATGTCTACGGCAAGAGCTTGTATTACTTTTCTCACATCAAGAAGTCTTGGCACGAGGCTGAGGAGTTCTGTGTGTCCCAGGGAGCGCACCTGGCCTCGGTGACTTCTGAGGAGGAGCAGGTCAGAGTTGCAGGCTTGGGGTGGTTGGTGTTGATGGGCTTGGTGTGGGATGAGGGACTTTGGCCCTTCCGCCTTCCTCCTCTTGCAGCGGGCAGGGCAGAGGCCTGCGGTCTCTTAGGTCAGTCAGGGAATGAATGTTGATTGAGTTCCCATGAGCATCTTGCTCTGCAGGTAGAATCACTGACAGCAAACCTTGATGTCCTCCATGACCGAGGGAGACACCCCGAGGCCCACAGCTGTCAGCAGTGAAGAAGGGCAAAGGCAGGCAGCAGTGGGTGACTGCCTTTAAAGTGTTGGGAATATAACTTCCCTCCCCAGCCCCTCATTTTCCGTTTAGCTTCTGCTCTAGTGGTTAATCCTGATTTTAACGTCAGTGAATCCAGTGGTTGTAGAAGGCCCACGAGCAGGAGACCCAGGCTTCTTGGGAAAGCCAGACACAAAAGTTTGAGGACCACCAAAGGCAATATAGAGCCTGGGGGCCCATCCGCTGAAGGTCCTTACCAGAATTTACTAGGGTTATTGTCAAAGGACCATCATGGGTTTGGTCCATTTCAACTTACGGAACTGCGCATCCTTTGTGGTTCTCCTGAGACTGTTCTTGTACGCCTGTCAAAGGACATGCTATTTTTTTTTTTTTTAATGAAATACATCTCTTTAATAATCTATGGCTAGGTCGGTCTTTGTCTCAGTGAACCCACACTCATCAAGTCAACCTGGGAGAAGTTGGGCTCTTTCTCTGAGGGGACCTGGGTCCTGGACTCAATCCTGGACAAACCATGGAAGGTGCAGGGAGGGGCAGAGGAGTGGGCTTCATGCCCCAGGACCAGAGAGAGGACAGCCTAGCCTCCGTTTCCACATGGCTGGGAGAACCAGCTCCTCACACAGGGTCAAACAACACTGCGTTTTCTCTACAGGCATTTCTGGTAAGGTTCACGAGTACCTCTTACCACTGGATTGGCCTCACAGACAGGAGTGAGGAGGGCTCCTGGCACTGGGTGGACGGGACACCATTCAGTGTCGCCCAGAGCAGAGCGTGAGTCCAGCACTGTCTGGTGCTGTCTCAGGCACACTCTGGGACAGGCCTGGCTAGAGACTCTTCGTCCTTGTCTTGTGTGTGTATTCCTGCCCAGTAAGTGCTAGTGTTGTGTGTGTGTGATATATGTATATGATGTGTATGTGTGATGTGCGTATATAGAGTAGATGTATGACTGTGTATGTAATGTATGTGTGATATGTGTGTATATATGATGTGTATGATGTGTGTGGGTGTGTGTATACACACTGGTATAGTCGTGGTCCTTGTGTGGACCTCTCCAGTGGGGCATCAGAACAGGATAGGTCCTGGGGCTGGCAGGCAGCCTATGAGTGGGTATTCCTGTGTTTTCACTGTTGTTGCTGTTCTTTGTTTTGTTTTTTTCTATCCTTTTTTTTTTTTTTAAGATTTTATTTATTTATTTGAGAGAGAGAGAATGAGAGACAGAGAGCACGAGAGGGAAGAGGGTCAGAGGGAGAAGCAGACTCCCCACTGAGCAGGGAGCCTGATGTGGGACTCGATCCCGGGACTCCAGGATCATGACCTGAGCCGAAGGCAGTCGCTTAACCAATTGAGCCACCCAGGCACCCTCCTATCCTTTTCTTTTAAAGATTTTATTTATTTATTTGAGAGAGAGAGAGAGCGTGAGGGGGAGGGGCAGAGGAAGAGGGAGAGGGAGAAGCAGGCTCCCCACTAAGGATGGAGCCTGATGCAGGGCTGGATCCTGGGACCTGGAGATCACAATCTGAGCCGAAAGCAGATGCTTAACCATCTAAGCCCCCCAGGTGCCCCTGTTTTTTGCCTACCCTATACGCTTTGTAGGCCCTGCCTTCATCAGAAGGTATCTAAATGCGAATTCTGGGGTGGAGGCTTACAGCTTCAGACACCCTTCCTATCCCTTGATCCTCAGTAACTAGAGACAACCTCAGCAGAGCCACCCTTAGGGCACCCTTGGGCCCAGCTACGTCCCCATCCAGGGACACCAGGAGATGAGAGACCCATGTCACTTCAGCTCCTTATGCCATAGTGGGGGGAAGGGACACTTTCTTCATCTGGCAGAATAAAGCCCTCTTGTTTCCAGGTTTTGGGGCAGAAATCAGCCAGACAACTGGAAGCATGGGGACGGGCAGAGAGAAGACTGTGTCCATATTGAGCAGAAGTGGAATGACATGCGCTGTGACACCCCCTATCACTGGATCTGTAAGAAGCCCATCAGCCAACATGTGGCCTGAGACAGGCCAGATCTGAGGGGTCGCCGTTGCTGCTCGCTCTGGACCCTCCCCGCCTGACGCCTTGTGAACCTCTGAACCCAACTTGTTCTCTGGGGCTTTCCATTTGGCCTTTTGTGTTTCCTGCTCTGTCTTTTCATTTAACCCTTCAAACATGTTTATCTCATGTAACCCAGTGGGATCAAGAGCTCCTCCAGGCCAAAGGCTTGCTGTGCCTCTGTTTCCCCCTCAGCAACCTGCATGGGCCTGTGAGACATCAGGTCCTCAATAAATACTGAGTGCACGAAAGCTTTGTGCTTGTCTCTGTGATGGCCATCATACTCTTCTCTCCCTGAACTGCTTCTCCTTCCTCAATGTCCCTTCTGTCCCGAAACAAACATATCTTTGTTTAAGGGCTTTATAGCTATGAATGTTTAGTTAGTTCACTGGAAAACAGTAGAGGTTTAACACAAACTACAGGGACATCATATAGGTGTACAAATTCCCAAGAAGTGATAGTGATCCCAGGTATTCGCTGCAGTTCCTTTGTTGCAGATGGGGCTGGAGCTGGATCTGGCCAGGCCTTTAAACCACTCCCCAGACTTCTTCCTGTCCCGTGGCTAGCCTCATTTCATTTCCCAACTGTTAACTTTTGATGCCATATCTCTGGCTTTGACCTCTCCTTGTGGCCCCATCCTCCCTTCCAGGGACTGGGGCTCTCTGCCAGCTCAATTTAGAATGAGAATTTCTTTGCACTGCCTCATGGAGTTACATGAGCATGCACAGGGAACCCAAGGAAGATTTCTGGAGCTTTTCTTCTCCCTCTCCTTCATGCTCCTCCCCAAATCCTAGCACATTCAGTCTCCCCCCAACTCCCATCTTCCTCTCTCCATGCTTAGTGAAACTGTCATGCCCTGCATGGGACCCTCCTCCCTGCACTGGGGTTTGGAAGGAGCCTCCAGGAAGAATCCCAGGGAGCAGGTGAACTCATGCTGTCTGCTTCCTCAGCCAGGAACTCGGATTATAGTTGTCCAACGCCAAATGTTTCATGAATTTTGTCCAGTTTTCCAATTGCTGACAACAAAAGGCCTGGTCCAGTTATTCCACTGGGACAAGAAATGGAAATCTATCTGTTACGACTTCTTTGGCTGAACAGGACTTTAATTTGTTTGTATTCACATTTTCCTTTTGGCTTTTCTTTTGGCCTTTTCTTTTATGGCTTCTTAGCTTTTTATCAACCTTAGGTACTCTGTCCTCTATCACAGGATTGAGATCACATTTTGCTGTATTTCTTCTAAAACCTTTATAGTTTTGTTTTTTGTTTTTTTAGATTTACGTATGTTACTGGATTTGATTTCCTGACAGTTTATTCCTTGGCATTTTGCATCTATATCAATATAAATATATGGGGATGGGCTAATTTTCTTTTTATGTACTTCTAGTCTTTGTTTTAGGATTTTCCTAGCTTATGCAAAAAAAGGAGACAATATTAATATGTCCTACTTTTTGGGAATTTACTCAGATTTTCTTTGTGGCCTAGTAGTGTCTGCTCACTTTTTATAAATGTTCCACAGGCATATTTATTAGATTAGGCTTGTGATTTTAATTTTTCAGATATTCTATATCCTCATTTATATTTTGCCTACACAACCTATCAATTTCTCTAGGAGGATTTGTGTTAACTCTCCCGTGCATAACATTTATCTATGTTTATCATCTTGTCATGTCATATTTCTAATAGCTTTTGATTTATGTATTCAGTGTTACTTTTATGTCTAAAGATTCATAATCATGAAGTCTACTTGAAGACTTCTACATTTTATTGATATTCATGCAATCCAGGATTATTTACTCTGCCTCTACCATGTACCAGGCACTCTTCCAGGTTTTCAGGATTCAAAAGTGAAGGAAACAGGGTGTCTGGGTGGCTCAGTCAGTTGGGCATCCATCTCTTGATTTTGGCTCAGATCATGATGTCAGGGTCGTGAGACTGAGCTCTGCGTTGGGCTCCTTGCTTAGCACTGGGTCTGTTTGAGATTCTCTCCTTCGCCCTCTGCCCCTCCCCTCTCTCTCACTCAAATAAATAAATAATAAAATCTTTAAGAAAAACACCCCAAAGTGAACGAAACAGATAAAAATCCCTTTCCCCTCTCCTCCCCAAGCCAGCATTTTAGTAGGGAGGAGAGGTAGTTAGGACACCCAGCCCCTTCTCATAGCCTCAGGAAGAGTCCTCTGGAGCCTGAAACCTGGGCGTGGTGACATCCTGGAGTAGCAAGCTAGCTTTTTTGTTTGTTTGTTTGTTTGTTTGTTTTAAGATTTTATTTATTTATTTGACACAGAGAGAGAAGCACAAGCAGGCAGAGAGAGAAACAGGCTCCTGGCAGAGCAAGGAGCCAGATGTGGGACTCAATTCCTGGGATCACAACCTGAGCCGAAGGCAGACGCTCAACAACTGAGCCACCCAGGCGCCCCTGTTTGTTACCTATCTAACCAACCATGGTCTGTGGCCTAAAGCTAATGGAACAGGGACAGGTAAACATACTCACACGGCAGGGTCAATTCTCATGCCTGGGCTGGACCTTTCTCTCTACAGAGAAGGTCCTGAAAGCTGCAGTTTCCTCAGGAGAGAGTCAGAAAGGCAGAAGAATTAAATTCTCCACAGACTTGAGTGGAGCCATCTGGGGAGACAGAGTGAAGTCCTCAGTTGTCCTGGGGGAAGTAGTCAGCTTTTCACCCTGGAGTGCCTCCCCACCCAGCCGCTGCTGTGGGGACCCTGTATAGCTGCCACTCTTGGTGACCTTGGATTGCACTGGTGATAGACATAGGCTGTGACAGACAGCTGCCACCAGATGGGGTGTGCTGTTGGCACCCTGAAGCCCACAGCCTTTTCTCCCAGAGCCATGCTTTCCAGTCTTTTGGCCGTGGTTTCCAGTCTAAGAGAGGCTGGAGTGAGTTAGGGGAAAGCCCAACTCTAGCAAGGGAGAAGACATAGACTTTTTGGCTGTCATGAAATGACCTTACAGGCTTGGTTTTCTAGGGCCAGGGAATAATTTCTCAGTGAGAGAGTAAGCACATTCTGGAAGCAGATGTCACAGCATTTTGAGGATGACATAAGTCACTAGGTCAGAAAAAAAAAAAATGTACCCGTGCTTATAGTCAGCAACTCTGAGTTCCTCTACCAATGAATGCCCCAGCCCTCTATACTCTGGAATTCTTAGAACACTTGCTCCCATATACCCAGATTTGGGCCTGGGTGTTGGTCAGACCCCCTCATATGCCTACACCATGCCTACTGGAAGGAGCCTCTCCCTTTGCATTGCTCTTGCTTTTAAGGGCCAGTTATAAGTGCTTCTACCTCTGTCTGCTGCTAGCAATTCCTACAGCTCAAAGCTAGCCAAGCCCAGGGACCCCTACCACAAATGAGAGCCCCAGGCCCCAGTGAGAGTTACAGAAGAGTGAGGAGGCCTGGGCTACTCTTGGGAGGGGTGACTTAGGATAGAAGGGGGTCTGCTAGCTGGGCCTCAAGAAGGCTTCCTCCTGCGGGACAAGCCCCATGCAGCAGGGTATCCACCACACAGCTCTGCCTCTCAGTTCCCCTCCCCCCCCAAACAGCCTGTAGCCTACTTCCTCTTGAATCTCCTCAAAGCCCTGCTTTTGTTGCAGTCATATCCTTCTTAGATCTGACAAAAATTTCCCACTCTAGCTGGTCCCAGGATTGGGATTTCAGGCCCTCTTCAAGGTAGCCCCAACAAGCCTTTAATGACGTCTCTGCTACAGGGTCACCAGAACTGAGCCC